GAAAAGCTGTGCTATATTTGGGATGGAAAATAAAAGTGGACTAGCCGGGAACAATGTTGCTTCCCTATGGAGAATTAAATGCAGACCTTGCCCTGAAACTCAAAGCTACCATCACCTGGCCTCCACATGTCTGGGCAGCCAGGATCCAGCAACATCACATGCCCACTGAGCCTGGAATGACCACATGGCGGACTAAATGTTTGTTCCCCTCCATTCATATGCTGAAGCCCCAACCCCCAAATGTGATGGTATTTGGAGATGGGGCCTTTGGGAGGTCATGAGGTTTAGATGAGGTCATGAGGGTGGGGCCCTCATGATGGGATTAGTGCCCTTATAAGAAGAGACCAGAGACCTTGCTTTTGTTCTCTCTCTGCCATGTGAGGACACAGCAAGAGGACTGTCAGCAAACCAGGAAGAGAGCTTTCATCAGGAAATGAACCAGCTGATACCGTGATTGCGAACTTCCCAGACTCCAAAACTGTGAAAAATAAATGTCTATTGTTTAAGCCACCCAGTTTATGGTGTTTTGTGACGCAGCCCAAGCAGACTAAGATAGAACAGGTATCTACAGGTGGGAGTTCTACTCTCCCCAAGGTCCAGCTCAAACCCCACCTGCTCCAAGAAATCTTCCCACAATTCTCCCAGGCAGAATTTCTCTCTCCTTTGCACAATCCTCTGTTTGCACTTTGACTGTAACACATAGCACTGGTCTTCCTTGAATTACTGACAGCTATGTATTCACCTGCTCTCACTTTATTTTCCCCTACTCTGTCCCATTCATTCCATTTCACTTCCTGAGTTAATCCTAACTGAGGCAGGAAGTACTTACGTTGTTATGACATATCATGTGATTGGCCCCACCATTAATGTGGCATGTCAACTGCAGGACAGTTTCCTGAGTTATACAATTCTCTCTCCTCCGTTTCCCTTGGCCTGCCAATATGCCCCTGTTCTTATAACCTGATTTTTGTTCATTAGTCTCTGAGACCAGTTCTGCCCCACTGTCACCCCTCCCCCTAACAGGCTTGCCAGATAAAATATGAGATGAGGTGACTTCCCTGTGCCACAACTGCTGAGCCTGCATGCTACAACTACTGAAGCCTGTGTGCCTAGAGCCTGTGCTCCGCAACAAAAGAAGCCACCATAATGAGAAGCACGTGCACTGCAACAAAGAGTAGTCCCTGCTCACCGCAACTAGAGAAAGCCTGCATGCAGCAACAAGACCCAGTGCAGCCAAAAATAAATAAGTAAAAAATAAATTGAAAAAAACATGAGATGAGCCCTCTTTTAGTATAAGTATAGCCCATGTAAGTTTTGAGACATACTTATACTAAAAATTACTTGCTGTTAATCTGAAAATTCAAACTTAACTGGACATTCTGTATTTTTACTTGCTAAAGCTGGCAACTTTATCAGCCCAGCATCTCATGACCAAGTAACCTATGTAAGAGGGCTGTGTCCTATTCTCACCTGTACAGCTTTTTGAGGACTCTAGTCCTGTCTCTGAAGCTCACGGCCCCAGTGCAGGGGCCAGGGCCTTCCCTCTCACATTGCAATCGTTTTTCTGGCTGGATGCCCAGTGCCATTCATTCTGCCCAGATTCCCAGTGCCGTTCATTCTGCCCTCTGGTCTGAACCTCTGCTGTTAGCCCAGCTCAGAGCTCATCCAGGTCTGAGTGCCAGCCCGTCCCCTGAGCTGTGTGATGGCCTGTCCCACCTTGCCTCCAGAAAACTCCAGGACTTGCAGATGACTCCCAGGTTTTGACTGGAATGTCTAACTATTTCCCACCAGACTGTGACTTCCTAAAGGGCAGGGGTTATTGCTTAATGAAGCCTAGCATCTAGCAGGATGCTTTACACATTGTTGGTGCTCAATAATAAATTACTGTTAACCTAAAATTGAAAGATGATGTTATGGGTTGAATTGGGTCCCCACTAAATATATGTTGAATTCCTAAACCCAGTTCCTCAGTAATGTGATCTTACTGGGAATTAGGGTCATCACAGATGTAATTAGTTAAGATGAGGTCAAACTGGCATAAGGCAGGTCCTTAATCCAATATGACTGATATCCTTATAAGAAGAAGAGAGAGACACAGTGAAGAGGATGCCATGTGAAGATACAGACACACACAGAGGGAAGACAGCTATGTGAAAACGGAGGCAGAGATTGCAGTGGTGCTCCCACAAGCCAAGGAATGCCAGAGGCCACCAGAAGCTAGAAAGAGGCAAAGAGGGATTCCTTCCCTACAGGTTGCAGAGAAAGCATTACCCTGCCGACAACCTGATTTAGACTTTTAGCTTCCAGAACTGTAAGACAATAAATTTCTGTTGTTTTAAGCCACCCAATTTGTGACACTTTGTTACGGCAGCTCTGGGGAACTATCCCAAGGATTACATTAGGGAGGAATTGACCAAAAACATGAGGGCCTAGAAGAAATCAAGTAATACTTGAAGAGTCAGAAGGGGCTGAGTATGAGACTATACAACTCTAACTTCTTCATGTTTTGTCTCCAAATTTCCTCAAGCAGAAATAATTTGTGTCCCTTTAAAAGTTTGAACTGTATGATTAGACCTGCAGCAGTACTGTGGGGCAGAGACTGGGCAGAAGTAAAGGCTATGAGCCCCTCAGAAATCCTCCATGGCCTGCACAGAGGTGGGCACAAGAGACCAGGGTTCATGGTGATGGAGACTGGCGGGAAAGGCTTCCATGGGAGGTGCGTCCCTGTGGGGAAGGCTTTGTCAGGAACCATGGTTTCCATTCTGTTGCCTTCTGTTTTCAGTACTTTAATACATAGCCTTAAAAAATGAGCACAATACCACTAAACATTTTTCAGACTTCATTTCTCTGTTAATCACCCCCATATTTCACAGCAGTGTCATGAATTTATGGAGAATAAGTACTATCAGTTTCGGGTCAAGTCAAGGTGACCCAATTCTAAAGCAGCAAATAACTGCCTTTGCAAAGTTATAGGGACAAGCATTCTCTTGGCCTTGCAACTACGGATTATGTTTCAAATGAAAAGTCCACATACAAGCTTAGGGAGACTGTGGGAAATGGGGTCACATCAGCTATCAATAAAATCAAATTAAATCCTAGAAAATTAGTACCGTCCAGTCTAACGAGCCCAGTCTGCCTTGAGGGGCACCAAGATATAGTCCCATTTATTTGTCCATAGAACTTCCATTTTAATGATGGCAGCTTCCAGCACTGTATGATATATAATAATAACGGAGGATTTACCAGGTACCAAGGATTAGGCTGAGATTTCATGTGGATTATTTGATATAATCTTCATATCACCCTCACGGGAAAGTTATCATATTTTCCCCTCTTACAGATGAGGAAATGGAGGCTTAAAAGGAATTAATCTGCATGACTGTTAATGGAGGCGGGATTCAAAAGATCCCGAGAAGTCTTCCTCTTGAAGACGGTGCAATTGATGGGGCTGGGGAGTGCTGTCCGGGAACCACTTAATTGCCTGCTATTTATAGGCAACTTGCTAACAGTTTTCCATACATTAGATCAGGGGTTGATAAACTATAGCCTGGGGGCCAAATGCAGCCTACTGCCTGGGTAAACAGGACGAAGCCCATATCTCTACATATCATCTCTGGCTGCTTTCTCAGAGACAGAGACTGGCCCACAGAGCAGAAAATATTTACTAGATGACCCTTTACAGAAAAAGTCTCCTAACCCCTGTGTTAGATCATTGAATCTTACTACTAGTAGCTCTATGAAAAAGGGATTATCCCAATTTTAGAGAGGAAGAAATTTAGGTTCACAGAAGTTAAGTTCCTTGTTCTAGAACAGTGTTTCTCTGACCTCTAAATTGTAAAGATTGTATTTTGCCACAGAACTGCCTTTTTTTCCCCAAAGATAGGGACATCGGGGAGGGTGCTATATATATTCCTTCATTTCATAAAAGAAAAGACATTTTAATACCCAAGAATGATGGTTCTAATTATCAACAGTCCTTTAAGTGGAATAAATTTAATTTTATGAAAAACTTTTTTTTTTCTTTCATTTTGCAAAGGATGGGTGAGAATACAGTAATGGACCAGCATGAGTTCAAGAACTGGCAGTTGTGGGTCATTTACTTAAGAACTTTAGCTAGTAAGAACCAGAGGATATTCAGGCCTACCTGACTCCAAAGCAGGTGACACTCTTGTATCTGTTGGGACTACCCATCTACCTTTGACCCATGCATTCCTTCTGTCATTCAATAACTATTCATTGAGAATCTACTATGTGCCATGTATGTACCATGCTCATACCAAGGACATGAGGAATCATTTTTCTCCATGTAGTTCTCACCATCTCTCTCGCCTTTGGCTGTTTTGATTAAGATTAAAAACTCAACTCCACCACAGCTCAGTTAACCATTTTCTTCTTATGACAGTTTGACCTGTTTGTCATTGGGGGAAATGATCCAAATGAAAATACCACAACACAATGACCTTACAGACATTTTTTTTTAAAGTGTAAGTAATGACTCTACAGGCTCTTAGGACAGGTAGAAATTAAACGACTTTATCAAGCCACCGAGACTGTCCAATCTGAGTAAAATAGTTTGAACGTACCTCAATAGTTTGACCTTTTGTTTCAAGGTCTTTCTATGAGGGATCAGGTCACAGACTATAAGGAAAAGCCTCACCTTCCATTGATAACTACCACCATCTCTTTAATACCACATTGCTAGAAACTGTTCTATTACAGTGAACTATCACAAGTAGAGCAGTCAAGCTATTTAAAAATACAAGCCAAAGTTAATTATGTAAAGGCATTTTAAATTAACATTCATACTCTTGAACAAATGAGAACATTCAAATTATTGCATTATATATAACTATGTAATAGCCTACATTTAAATATTTCTGATTCTGAATTATTCCTCTATTTTTTTTTTATTACATCGATAAGATGAGAAGCACAAGGGAAGTTCCAATTACTCCACTGATCTTAGGCTGAATATTTTTAAATGATTAAGTGAAACTTACTGTGTATTCTGGTCCCAGATGTTCATTTGGACAAGAGGGAAAAGAAAAAAGAGAGAAAAGGATGATTTAGACCACACTTACATGCAATATAAAACCACAGAACTAATAAATATTGCTGAATTATAATTATTAAAATTGTGGTAAAGAAACCTTCCGAGGATTAAACCTTCATAAATACTAAGTGTCTCCATGTTTGCTCTCGAAACTCTTTCACATACTTCTGTGGCTAGGTAGATAAGGAGTGTAAGATAAGATTCAATTAGCCTATAGGTTTGTGGCTAATTAAAAACCAAAGAGTTGGCCTTAGAAAAGCAGAATTAAAGACTAATAATTCCAGTAGAGCATTTCATTAACCACAAAGGAAATCTTTTAAGTGGAAAAGCAGCTTTTAAAACCAATAAGACCCTGTCAGGATGACATTCAAATAGGATCTTGAATTTTCATGTGTTCGAGGGCAGGAACCAAACCTTCTAAATTTTTGGCCACAGTGTCTAGTTCAGTACCAACACTGAGTGTTATTATCACTCCACTACAAGTGAGGAAGAAAGTGATTTTCATATTATCCTATTGCAAAGGAAGTGCTTTGGAGCAGAGAGACCCAACAGAACCTTTTATATAAATTACAGTCAGGTTTTGTTTTGTGTGTGTGGGGGGGCATTTGCAAAGCAAACAAGTCAAAATAAACAACTTGTTTATGAACAAACCCCAACTCAACATTATTTGGGGATTACTGAGAAAAGAGGGAGAAATAAGAATCATGAAATCTCTAGAAATGTCACTAAAAAGAGTTTCCCATTTCTTCTCCATATGTTATTTACTACAATCACTTTAAGAAGGAAGATGGAATAGTTTAGCTTAAGCCCCCCAACCCCCTGCTAGGAAGAGTGCTGACCTAAAAGTATGGAGCAAAGGGTCAGGGAGATATCACAGCGTTCCCACCAGTCCCTGCTTGGATAATCCACCCTCAGTCAGTGAAATCTGAATCCTCGTATGTCCTTGCATGGATACATGCAACATACTGGGTGTACAAGGACTTACCTGTAATCGTGTAGGGATAATAGTTCCACGCCTTCTCTGTAACATAAAATATCTTGGGAACAACAGCTCTAGCCCAACTAGGCAGTTTGCTAAGACGAAAGAAAGAAAGAAAGAAAAAAAGACAATTAGAGTCTGTCCAGGGCCTCACCCTGCTACATTTTTCCGGAGAAACTGACTGCTAGAGAAATCAGAGGACTTCTATTTCCGCTCTTCTCTCTGTAGCCACTCGGTCCCCACCTCCCTGGTCTTTACCATAGTTAAATCGTCCTCAGTTCATATTTAGGACACGTAGGATGGCCACAGACACTAGAAGGCAGGAGAGAGGCAGAGAACGGATTGGTTCCCCAGAAAGAACCAACACTGCCAATACCCTGATTTCAGACTTCTGGCCTCCACCCTGGGAGGAGATAAATGTGTGTTGTCTAAAGCCACCCAGTTCACAGCCATTTGTTGCTGCAGCCCCAGGAAACTAATGCAAAGACAGAGTCATTCCTCTGGAACAGGCACCTGGGCAGCCATTTGCAGAAAACATTCTCAAAACAAGGAAAACCCAAGGGCACAGGTCCCAAGACCCTTGGTAAACCAAGGACGAATTAAGTTTTGCTTTGCTTTGTTCTGTTTTCCTTCTGAGGCAAACTCTACAGCTTACGGCAGGCCCAGAGAATTCCTTTAAATATTATATTTAAATATATAGAATGATATACTACTGAAGTATGGCTGCATGATTTTATTCCCCACCCAGCACTCTACTGTGGCGTTTTCTGTCTTTCCAGATGCTACCATTTTGTTTCTTTCCTATGCTGGTGCCTACAGCTAAGTGTCTGGGACACCAACGTCTAGCAGTACCTCACACCCAGAGCGATGACGCAGACTCCCAGCTCCTGAGGGTTGCGTGTTGGCAATAAAGAACATCAAGAAGCGGTTGTGAGTTGCAAGCTGATGTAGCTAAGAGAGGGGGGACATCAAGGTAAAAGAACCCCAAACCCCCAACCCCTCTTGGACATGGGGTTTAAATGACATCCAGAGCCAGTGAAATACTGTGCACCTTGCATGTCTTCCCAAATTGTTTCTCTTATTTCTGACAGTATCCAGTCCCTGCTTTTTAAAAGGCAAATATGTATTTTCGATGGCTGGTCAGACCTAACCCAAAGAAAGCTCCAGGCCAATACTCGGTGCTAAAACAAATGGGGAAATCAGAGCTGCGTCCCCCGCCCCGCCCCGCCCCCCCGAAGCCGGGTGAGTGTCAGATGGAGGCCACTGCTCTCAGGTGTGCTATGGGGGCGCACGGAGCAGTTTTATGATTCACAGGACAATTCTTCTTGCTGATCTAATGCACAATGTCTCACTCCCATAAAATCATCTCTGCAGTAACTGCTCATTTACCTTAGAAGGAAGGGGCTGCTTCCCAACAGGGGTTTTTACAGCTTTCGCCTAGGATTTATTCTTTCAGTCACTGAAACTGGAGGGTAACTGGGGTCAACACTGAGTGGGAAAGTCGCATTGGGCTGGCTTGCGGGAAGTGGTCACAAGCATACCGTCCCCCAGGTGCCCTCCTGTTTGCCACCACACCCCAGAGTGATATGCCAAAGTGTCATACAGGGAGGTGTGGAGCTACTCACAGGCAAGTGGTTTTCTTGTGCTTTTAACGGGACCGAAACAGGATTGTGGAATTTCCCCAAGGTAAGTTAGGCATTGTTCAGTTTAGACAAAGTACTTATGTCTCCTTACAAGCATTAGAGCCCTTTCTCCACTGTTCTCTAGTGCGGGGGGTGTTCTGTCTACACTGCACCCCTCCCCAGATTCACCAGCCTCCTCTTGATACCACTTTGGGACCCAAGTCTTCCTCCCTCCATAACTCAATCCCTCTGTCATTTAAAAAGTCTCCCAGCAGAACCACATCCCTAAGCAACAATCATTTTCTGGAAGGAAGATGACAAACACTGGCCATTTTCCACTCATGTTGAAACTTGTCCTATTTGTAAGTGGTCACGACTCCAGGCTCTAGAATCTTTATCTTAGCTGCTTCATCCACCAATGTATGCAGAACTATAATCAAATACCTTTTCCAACAAAACGCCCGAAAACACATAACATTTAGCCAAGATGGCTGATACAATTTTATGTGACTTCTAAACAGTCTGGAAAGGAGGCCCTTCTGGTATAATCCATTTACCAGGCCAGGCACAGGAGGTGTTGGAACAAATTCTGTGATATGCCATTTAAATATTTTTAAGTCCACTAGAGACCTTCTCCTAGCCCCTGACTTCCCCAGAGCACATTCAACATTCAAATCATTTTTGTCTGAGAAAGTAAAATTCGTTTTTCCATGCAGCAATAATTTATCAGGTCTGCAAAGGAAAATGGAATTAAATTAGACCCCACTGCTGCTGTCCCTTTTGTGATGTATACTGCCTACAATTCCAAGGAGAAGCCTGTCATTCAAACTCACTACCTGGCATCAAACAAGAACCTCTCTTCTGGAAAGGTGGCATGACTTGAATCACGTCCTCTTGGTCCAGTGGCTGAGACTAAACCTCCCAAGACCATCTCACCATGGCTCAGGCTTTAGGGACACTGAGGAAAAAGACAAAATTCTAAAACCTTTAAGGAATTAGGAAACGTGCTGACATGGAATGCTACCACATTTCCCCAAAACCTTTGTCCATGCCTACCAAAGATAAACTTTTCAAATTGTTTTGTTTCTTACTTCTTTACTTCACATGGAACAGAACATACATCAGTGACAGCTGGTCAACTTGTCTCAGGTTAAATGGGACTGTCCTGGTTCTGAAACAGGAGAGAAGGGGGCAGGGCACAACCTTTGAAAGAATGACATAGCCCGAGGACATGACATAAACTGATTAGAACCAAATGGGTCCAAGATGGTGGACAAGTCGACTGCACTAGACCTTGAGCCTTAGTATACGCTCACATCAGTAAGCTAAATGACACACCCACAGGCACCGTGACAGTTCCAAGACCCACCATAAGGATCAAAAAGTGGGCGGTGACCCAATTACTGGAAATCCCCGCCCCTTCCTGAAATAGCTGGAATACTCCTCCCACTCATTAGCCTATGAAATTACCCACCCCTATAAAAACTGACAACCCCCACACCCTGGTGCCTTTCTCACCTTCTGAGGTGGCCCACAGTCTGTCTGTGGAGTGTGTTTCTCTCTAAATAAATCCATTTCTTACCTATCACTTTGTCTCTCACTGAATTCTTTCTGCAATGAGACGTCAAGAATCTGAGCTTCATTAAGTCCTGAAACCAGGTGTGTGATCTCAGTTGGAAGACTGGGTGTTGGCCGGGTCTGAGTCCCAGCCACGAGGGTTCGAGTCCCAATCAGGGTTTTGGCTGGGTTTGAGTCCCAGTCTGGGTTTTGGCCAGGTTCAAGCCCCAGCCACGTGGGTTCGAGTCCCAATCAGGGTTTTGACCGGGTTTGAGTCCCGGCCACGTGGGTTCAAGTCTGTATTTGACATGCACAGTTTCAGCTGGTGACCACAAAGAGACAGTGATAAGGTAAGAAAATGTTGAGAGTCAGCTCTTGGTCCTAAAGAGGCCCGTGGGATGCCACAAGCCATGCATACTGGGGAAGATGCTCTGCCAATGTCTGCTCATTTTTTTTTTTTTTTTTTTTTTTTTGCGGTATGCGGGCCTCTCACTGTTGTGGCCTCTCCCGTTGCAAAGCACAGGCTCCGGACACGCAGGCTCAGCGGCCATGGCTCACGGGCCCAGCTGCTCCGCGGCATGTGGGATCTTCCCGGACCGGGGCTTGAACCCGTGTCCCCTGCATCAGCAGGCGGACTCTCAACCACTGCGCCACCAGGGAAGCCCTGTCTGCTCATTTTTGACTGGCGGGTCAACCCTGTATACTTATGTACATCCAACAGCAGGTCCAGGACAGAATTATTAATCTCTATACTCTTCTCCTTGACCCTGAGGTTTTTCTCCTACATTCTTGTATTCTTGCTCATTCCTGCTCTATTTCTTTCTTTCTTCTGTTAACCCCAGAAGACCTGTGTGGCCACCAAGGTGTACTTTTTATTGTTTTTACTCCCCTCCCTCTGACACTCACAAGTGCTGACCCTTTATTCCCAGCTTATAGCTAGACCAACTCCTGTTCATCATCAACACCGTTGGGGACGTCTTCTGTGCCATCTCTTTGCGACTTCTGGGGAACTAACACCTGGTTGGGAGACTATCTTGGAAGGGATAGCATCTAAAACTAAGTGCAAATCTTGACTAAATTGCGTGGTGGATTTTGACTTAAGAGTGGAATTTTGGATAGCTCAGGAGTTAGAGACGTCACCTTAGGCTTGTCTGAAATGGGTCAGGGCTGCATCAATCCCAACCAATACTCCTCTGGGCCATATACTCTGGGGTCGGGAAAGATTTGGACAACAGGAATTAAAAGGAAAAAAACTTAGTGCGTTATGTAATCAAGTTTGGTCACAATATGAGTTAGGAAATTTAAAATGGAGTGAAGTACCCTATGTTCAAATTTTCATGGCCTTGTATCTAGGCAATGGAACCCAAAATGAATTTAAGGCATGTGTAGCTCGGGAGGGATAACTCTAGGAAGGACACAAAGGACTTAATAAATGTGATTAGGGCTTCCCTGGTGGCGCAGTGGTTGAGAGTCCGCCTGCCGATGCAGGGGACACGGGTTCATGCCCCGTTCCGGGAAGATCCCACATGCCGCGGAGCAGCTGGGCCCGTGAGCCATGGCCGCTGAGCCTGCGCGTCCGGAGCCTGTGCTCTGCAGAGGGGGAGGCCACAGCAGTGAGAGGCCCGCGTACCGCAAGGAGGAAAAAAAAAAAAGGACAGTTTGTGCTGTGATTCTGGGAAAAGAAGCCTGCCTCGTGTCAGTTCTTGGAAGGCTCTGCATGTGGCGAGTGTTAGGGTAATGTGGCAGGGGTGTGGGGAGCACCCAGGGGAGCCAGCCACATGTGTCAACATCATCAGGCAGGAGCGAGGCACAACCAAGGTGGAAATCACTTGACGAGATGCCCTGTAAGATCCCAACCAGGCCTAAACATTCTGTTTCTGTGATGTTCCATGGGAGTAGCTGAGGGGGCAGAAGGC